AGCAGCAACGGGACCATGACAGAGACTCTGAGGAGGTTCAGGACCTCCAACCAGAGCTGATGGTTTGGTCCAGATCTACTGGGTCAGTGTTCTTAAAGCACAGTGATGGATGGATCTTTGACTGTGATGACGCCGACCCTCCTGGTATCAATTAATTCATTATTGAATAAGGAAGCTACTCAACAGCAGCATCCTCAGCGATAGAAGCAGTTTTCTGTCTTCAGAGTGACAGTGGAGGTGGACCAGGTCTGTGCTGGTGCTGATCAGAACTGGTCTGATGTTTGACACAGGATCCAGACATTCTCAGCTGCATTCATTTGTTCAACTTGGTAGAACTGTGCTGGATGGTGCGTGGATGTTGTGAAGCGTCTCCTCTCCCTGAGCTCCAGGGCAGGAGCTCCAGCATTACTGCCTTTTTAAAGCACATCAGCTGATTATCTGCCACTCGGGTCTCGAGCGCCTCTTCATCGCCGGCGTCTTAATGTGATGAAACTGTGGCCGCCTCATTACAGAGCGAGCTGGTTTCTGCTGAGACTTTGATGGGCTGCTCAGAAGGAACAAACAAGTCATTAGAGCCACTGTGTGCTCTCTGGTGGACTCTTGTTATTCCCTTCACATGTGCTGAAGGCAGCGCTGACACAAGCCTGGTGGAGGGTTTCATCAGGCAGCAGACGGAGGAGCAGAGCTGCTGTTCACCTATCGACAGTCATCGATACAGAAATCAGCTCTCATGCATTATTCATCCTGCTGCCATGAATGTTACAGTGTTCTGCTGTAACCTGGAGGCTGCTGATCAGACCCACCGCCGACCACCAGCACAGACCGACAGCCAACGCTTTGTTTATACCTGTTGCTAAATGGAAACAAAGAGCTAACATGTGAAACGGGCCGAGAGGTGTTCTAGTGCACACAGGTGTGTCCTGAAGCTCCTTCACCTGGTCTCTGCTGCAGCACTGAGACGCTGGTCAGCAGCAGCGTGTCCACCCTCCATCACTCCCATCGTTTCACGTCGGCGTAGAAACACTGCCGACGTATCAACGAGGTGAAATTCAAAGCAAAACGCTGGTTGGTTTATATGAGCCACGTGTTCGTTATTTGACGCCGTTTGGTGGTTGTTCTGTTTCACGTTTTGGCCGAGCTGCGTCTCTTTTTGTCGGCTTGTGTCAGTAGTTGTTTTGCATCTCACCTCTCAGTGGTTTTGTCTTTGTGTTGTCGCTTTACGTCACACTTTGGTTGTTTTATGCCCTTCCATGTATGCTGACATTAAACTGGTGTTTTGGGGAAAGGCCATGAACAGGGCTGATGTTCAGATGAACACACAGACGTCCTGCTCTCGGTTGATCGTAGCCGGCCGGGTGCTGGTTACCGTCGGCAGGCCGGAGCGACGCATGCTGCTGGTTTTATTCAGAGCCGGGTTGTAAGCTGGTAGCTTCCTGTCGTGGAGGCAGATGGGACTCGGTGTTTGTTGCTGGGCTGCTCGCTCCGAGGGGTTTGAGTAAATGAATAAACCTGGGATTTATTTGTACCAATCTGCCTGACGACTGTCGATGCTCGGCAGCGAGCGGCGAGGGAGCGTGGGAGCCTCAGAGGCCCGATACAGGATATTAACTCTGGATCCACATCATTAGTTTTTCTGGGAGCTGGGACAGAGCGCTACTGTTCCTGCTGCAGAGACGACTCTATTAAAGTCTGTGGACGTAGCGCTGCCGTCTGCATCGACGGCGCTCTGCTTGGTCACAGCGCTTATTTCTACATCCAGCGTGATCAACGTTTTATCACCGCTTTCATGTCGGCTGAACAAATAAATCTGCTTGTAGGCCTTTGAAGGCGCTGCGTCGGGGTTTCCTTCAGTGAGTCTTCATGTCGCTGCTTCATTGGTCAAAATGAAACTAGATGCAAACTGTCAATAACAACACGTGTTGGTTTGGAAACTGATCCCAGTTCACTGATGTTACCCACTGGTTTTCTGTTTGTTGTTATAGATGGCAGCTACTGAATAAATCGGACGTTCACAGCTAATGAGCCGACTGGTGTTCTAGCGCCACCATGAGGTTAGCGTGTGTGGCTCTAATGACACATGTCGAAATATTCCATCAACATTTCGGCTTGTTTGGTCGAATAGTTGAATGAAGAATTTGGGAGGAAATGTCCATCATGGTTCCAGATGTTACACCCTGGAGCTGCTGCCGTCTCCTGATCCTGCACATGGTGAACTGTCTCCATGTCTCCAGAGTTCTCCTCTCCGCTCATCAGCTGTAGAAAGATGTTCAGGTTTCTGATGGACTACCAGAGTCTAGTTTTGGGGGTTTTCTCTGTCGTTACTGACTCTGACTACATCATGACTCTACAGCTGAAACATGGAGTCATGTCAGTGATTTTTAGACCTTTTTCTTTCTAGATGATGCTTTTGGGCTTCAGACAGTTCAGTGAACCCAGAGCGCCTGTTTGTGACCCTCTGGTGGTCTTCAGGAGGTTCAGCCCTCAGCATGGACCTGGCTGTGTCCTCACCACTGCTCAACGTTTCTCCTCCCTCTGTCCTGCAGGAGCTCATCGACGCCGCCATGATGAGCACCACCCTCGGTGGGATAGCGGTCGCCGGCGGGGGAATGGCGGCGGGCGGTTTGGGAGGAGGACCGTCGGCGCTCGGCGGCGAGAACGGCCGCGTGGTGGCTCATGACTTCCCTAAAGCCGGAGCTCAGGGGTTACCCTGCATGAGCAAGGCCGCCGGGCTGGGACTGTCCTCCACGGGCATGTGATCCAAACCCTGGCTCCTGATTGGACGCTCCTGTCTGTCCGTCAGCATGTTGGTGAGGATGGAGGAGGAGAAGAAGCTGGAGAGATGTTGGTTTGTTTGTTTGTTTGTTTGTTTGGCCGACGGAGGAGTGTCCACCTGAACTAAGTGAACACAGCAGAGCTCTGATGAACAGAGCACCTGAACACAACACCTGGGCTTAACAAACTCCTTTTTCTACGAGCGCTGTCTTAAACTGAACTCCTCTTCTGCAATAACCGGACCTGGGGGAGGAGCTTTTTATTTTTCAACTTGTCGATGACAGAATCAGAGCACCTGCTCTTCACTCCTCCTCTTCCTCGGTTCACCACCTTCACGCTAAACGCCACCTTCATACCGGAGCATGTGAGACTTTTCTACGCCGACACACAGACGAACACTGAACCTGAAGAGTCCGATCGGGGCGCTGCCTCCTTATCCAAACCGTTACTGATGCAGGTCCTGAGTGTGTTCACACGAGCGTCGCGGTTCTGATCAGGTTCTAGTGTTTGAGCATGTAAACATCACGTCCTGAGTCCTGGACGTACACGTCAGTATCGTAGCCTCAGTGTGACGGGATGGTTCTGCTTCCTGGGTTTTACTGCAGCGACATGAAGAACGCATTCAAAGAACATTAAACAATGTTTTCAAAGATCTCAGTAGAAACATCACAGCCGCCTGCAGTAGGACCAGAACCAGCCTGAGTCTGCAGCTCATGTCCGTGTCGACACACTCACTGACAGCTTTGCCCAACCTGGCGCCATAGGTTAATAAAGTCCAGAAATACTGGATCAGAACCATGTTTTCCAGCTGGAGGTGCTTCTTCTGTCATCGGCTTTAACCTGCTGGAGTTCCTCCACCTGTAAACCTGCTAGAGGTGTTTGCTTTACCAAAGGTCCTCATGGTTTCTTCTGACCTGCTGAAGGCTGACGTCCAGACTGTCTGGAAGCCTTCTAGAGCTGGACTGGTCACATGACTGATGCTCATCATCTACACAATAGTCCACCACAGGGATACAGAAACAGAACCGGTACCTTCCTGGTGTTGGATGGTTTCAACATGAACGGTTACCTGAGATCAGCAGCAGCACCGATGAGCTGGTTCCTGAAGCAGGAACCAGACCTTGTTCTAC